AATCGGTCGCGCAAATCGTAGTGTCGTTCATCTCCTGCAGGGTCACAAAATTCACCACCCGGATACGTACAGAATCGGTATTAATACAACCCTGTTCATTCAATTGAACGTGATACCACGTCGTCACACCAGGATTCACTGTTGGTGTTGCAGTATTGGCGTTAATGATATTGGTATTAGGTGACCAGCTAAATGTGCCAGTGCCGCTGGCTTGCAGTTGCACCGCATCGGGAACGCATATTAATGTATCGCGAAAGGCAAGTGTGATAGGTGGTTTGTCAATAATATCGACAACATGGTTTATGGTGTCAACACAGCCTTTGCTGTTGGTGACGATGAGGCGCACATCTTTTGGACCGGCGAGTGGATAGGTCCACGATGGATTTTTAACCCGTGATGTATCGTCAATAGTAGTTGCTTCACCGAAGTCCCATCGCCAGCTATCGACTACTCCATACACTGTTGTCGTGTTGTCTGTAAAAAAAACAGGGTTGAGCAGGCATACACCTGATGATGAAAATTCAGGGAAGAAGCCGGGCCATACTTTTACGATGGCGGTGGTAGAATCAGAACATTCCTGGCCGGGGTTAGTGATCAACTTGATCGTGTAATCACCAGCGGTTGAAAAAGTATGTACTGGCGCCGCAAGGTTGGATGTGTTGTTGGCACCGCTTGCCGGATCACCAAATGACCAGGTATAAGCATTGATCAGCGGGCTGTTACTTAAGTTGGCGAAATTAACGGTGAAACCATCGCAACTGATATATTCAGGGTTTAATGTCGCGCTGGCTACGTCGCAATCACCGGCTTTTATTTGCAGGTCTTTACGCTGGGTAGCGATCACTACTCCGTCACGTATTTCAGAAACACAAACGGTCACTACATATATTCCGATGGGTGGGGCAATTCCTGAAATCAAACCGGTGGCGCTATTGATGGTGATATTGGCACCGAGAGGAGCCGTGCTGTTGTAGGTTGGACTATAAGGCACAGATGCATACGGTGGAGCTGCAGGCGGGTTAGGCGCTGCGCTGTTTGGTCCTACTCCCTGTCCCTGTCCACCGCCTACAAATGCATTACAAAAGAAATAAACGAGCTGATCACGTGGATCGGCATCTGATGCGCCAAAGCTGTAGGTAAAAGGGTAACCTGCGCATACGATCACCGTATCTGCTCCGGTAAAGCGGGCGCTGTTATTCACTGGTCCGGTTGCTGAAGCAGATGTACCTGGAATAATAGCGGTATAAGTTGCTCCAATATTACTCGATCCAAGCACATTATTGATACCGGCGATGCGGCAACAGCGTTGATAGGCGATAGTGTAACCACCGGGTGTAGGTGGCAGAGCTACATCGAATTCGTAATAGCCTACATCATAATCAACGATAGGTGCATTATTGACGCACGGCCCCGGTGACCCGAGCGTAAGTCGCGCCTGGGAAGTCATGGGCACTGTATTGGTCCACACCATCGCATTGGTAGTGGTATTGAAGATGCCAATCGGGGCGG